CCTTCCTTCCTTCCTTCCTTCCTTCCTTCCTTCCTTCCTTCCTTCCTTCCTTCCTTCCTTCCTTCCTTCCTTCCTTCCTTCCTTCCTTCCTTCCTTCCTTCCTTCCTTCCTTCCTTCCTTCCAAACAAGCAAGGCCCCGTCCATGGGATGCAGGCAGCACACAAACCCACACATTCTCCAGTCTGCGGGAAAATGTTTTTCCATGGAACCGGTCCCTGGTACCCAAAAGGTTGGGAACCTCTGCTCTAAGACAGAGGTCCCCAACCTATGGGCCGCGGCCCACTGCCAGGCCGTGGCCTCTTGGCTATTGGGTCATGTGAGTGGCTGGCCAGAAGCTCAAACCCCCCCCCCCCCCGTTTCGCCAGCGCTAGCCAAGCCATGAGATGAGAGCCGGCACTAGCCAAGACGTGAGCTGTGAGCCTCTCACCGGCGCAAGCAGCCCCATTTGCGGAGCGTGCATGCTCGCTGCCCTGTTTGCGCGCATGTGCGCACAGCCACATTAGTGTGTGTGCACATGCACGCATAAAGGCACCTGTGTCTCCTTTTCCCACCAGGCCGCCAACACAGAAAGGTTGGGGACCCCTGGTCTAATACCGTCGCCTGGTGATTGGCCCAAAGTCACCCAGCTGGCTTTTCTGCCTAAGGAGGAACTAGAACTCACCATCTCCTGGTGATTGGCCCAAAGTCACCTAGCCGGTGTTCATGCCTAAGGCAGGACAGGGTTTTCACAGCGCCTAGAATGAAGAAGACCCTTCCAGTACAGATAGTCTTCGACTTATTTGTTTGTCAGAAGGTCATGAAACCCTGGGACCTTGCGACCGTCATAAATACGAACCGGTTGCCAAGCGTCTGAATTTTGATCACGTGACCACGGGGAACGCTGCAACGGTCACAGGTGTGAAAAACGGTCATAAATGACTTTTTTTTCAGTGCCTCTGTAACCTTGAACGGTCACTAAACGAGAGGTTGTAAGCGGAGGACTCCCTGTACGGAAGGAACATTTTGCTTCACGTTCCGTTCACTTGCCGCATCCTTCGGAGAAGAGTAAACAGCGAGAGGTTTTTTTTCCAAATGGTTCTCTTCTCTGAGTAATTTCCTGTGACAAGTCCCTGCCAGACCCTAAAATATTTACGGGTTTGGCTACGGCACATTAATTACAATAATTGGGTTCCTAAAAAGGCATAGGGAGAGGTAATTGAGGCAGGGGCTTTGATAAGGATGGAGAAGGAAGTACCTTGTCATAAAAACATGATAATTGCTCAGCTGATAACGTACCCCGAGGCTTCAGGTGTCCCTTTCATTCGTAGATCCGACGGCCCCTTCCCGTTGTAATGTGGTGGACACCAAGGTACTTAACAACTTCCAGAGCATATTATCTTACTAAAATCTGTACTTTCGTTAGGTTTTATTAACTTCGCTTAGGACAGGACCAGATTTAAAGGCCTGAGAAAAACTGGAAAAAAATTTTAATGGGTGTGAGCAGAGGTACTTCCGAAGCCCTTTTCAGAACATTTGGAAAGAATTGTAAAATTTTGTGTAAGCTGCAAAATACTATAACAACAACAACAACAACAACAATGTTGGAAGGGACCTGGGAGGTCATCTAGTCCAACCCCCTGCTCAGGCAGGAAACCCTGTACCATTTCAGACAAATGGTTGTCCGGTCTCTTCTTAAAAACTTCCAGTGTTGGAGCATTCACCGCTTCTGGAGGCAGGTAGTTCCACTGGTTATTTGTTCTCATTGTCAGGAAATTTCTCCTTAGTTCCGGGTTGCTTCTCTCCTTGGTTATAATAATAATAATAATAATAATAATAATAATAATAATAATAATAATAATAATAATAATAATAATAAAGTTGGAAGGGACCTTGGAGGTCATCTAGTCCAAACCCCTGCTCAGGCAGGAAACCCTGTACCATTTCAGACAAATGGCTGTCCGGTCTCTTCTTAAAAACTTTCAGTGTTGGAGCATTCACCGCTTCTGGAGGCAGGTAGTTCCACTGGTTAATTGTTCTAACTGTCAGGAAGTTTCTCCTTAGTTCCAAGTTGCTTCTCTCTTTGGTTAGTTTCCACCCGTTGCTTCTTGTCCTGCCTTCAGGTGCTTTGGAGAATAGCTTGACTGCCTCTTCTTTATGGCAACCCCTGAGATACTGGAAGACTGCTATCAGTTCCCCCCTCGTCCTTCTCTTCATTAAACTAGACATACCCAATTCTAGCAACGTTCCTTATATGTTTTAGCCTCCAGTCCCCTAATCATCTTTGTTGCTCTTCTCTGTACTCTTTCCAGAGTCTCAACATCTCAACATTTTCTACATCGTGGTGACCAAAACTGGATGCAGTGTTCCAAGTGTGGCCTTAACCAAGGCATTGTAAAGTGGTATTAGTGATCCTGATTCTATCCCTCTGTGAATACAGCCTAGCACTGTGTTGGCTTTTTTGGCAGCTGCAGCACACAGCTGGCTCGTCCTGTGGTCATGTGACCACGTTTTGCCCCCCCCTCCCCAAAATAAAATTAAAATGGATTTGCACTTGGGACCATCACATTTGCTGAACTACCTCTGCAAAAGAGAAAAGTCATAAAATCAGGTTGGTCATTGACCGCCCCCATTTGCAGCTGTAATGGTCATAACTTCAAAAACTGCCCACATCTCTATTACAGTCGCAACTCAAGGACTACCTCACAGTCATAACTCGAGACTCCCCATCGCATAAAACGGCGTCCTACTCATACATTTAAAACACAACACGATGAAAGGAAACCTTCCTGTCTATAAGTCCTCTAAGTAAGAAATATCTATTTTATTTGTTTAGAATAATGAGCAGAAGGCCTTTGAAAGGCAGATGGGAAGACCCGTGTAAAGTTACCCTTTATATCCTACAAGACATTGGTAATTATTATGTGTAACAATGCATAATAATCTCCAGTAATGTTGTATTATGTATAATTTAACCTATTGTGCGTGGAGGACATGATGGATGTTAGAAATTAATATGCGACTGCAAACGAATGAATCTTAACGCCAGCAACAGAGCCCTTTGGTTCTCTAAAATCCATAAGGATAAAAAAGAAAAAGAAATGAATAGAGTTTTCAGAAGCCATGGCCAAAAAAAGGAGCTTGAATTAGTAAGGTTTTCTGAGGTATGTAATTTATTACACATGTGGCATAATGTGGAATTTATAGGTCTAACTTTGTTCGCTGATACTCTACTTGTTTCAGTGATAAATACTGATACATAACAACATTAATTAATTTACTGGTTGCTTTTAACACTGAGTTAGATTTATTGCTCTTGAAATACAGGGCATTGCCCTCGGTAGCACACAGAATACCTATTATTAACTGCCCAGAGTTGTTGGGAGTGGGGAGCATATAGATTTAATACTGCTAAATATCACACTATCCTACTTTTGATTTCAAGGTAAAGCGGCACAGGAGATAATGTCATATGGTTCACAAATATTAATCTCTGAGGGAAAAGATTAATCTCTGAGGGAAAAGATTAATCTCTCAGAGAGCCAGTTTGGTCTAGAAGCCAGGAGACGGTGAGTTCTAGTCCCGCCTTAGGCATGAAAACTGGCTGGTTGGGTCAATCGCCCAGGAGATGGTGAGTTCTAGTCCTGCCTTAAGCATGAGAGCCAGCTGGATGGATCAATTGCCCAGGTGAAGGTGAGTTCTAGTTCCGCTTTAGGCATGAAAACTGGCTAGGTGGGTCAATCGCCCAGGAGACGATGAGTTCTAGTTCTGGCTTGAGGCATGAAAACTGGCTGGGTGGGTCAATCGTCCAGAAGACGGTGAGTTCTAGTCCCGCTTTAGGCATGAAAACTGGCTAGGTGGATCAATCGCCCAGGCGACGGTGAGTTCTAGTCCCGCCTTAGGCATGAAAACTGGCTGGATGGGTCAATTGCCCAGGGGATTGTGAGTTCTAGTCCCGACTTAGGTATGAAAACTGGCTGGATGAGTCAATTGCCCAGGCGACGGTGAATTCTAGTCCCGCCTTAGGTATGAAAACTGGCTGGATGGGTCAGTTGCCCAGGTGATGGTGAATTCTAGTCCTGCCTTAGGCATGAAAACTGGCTGGCTGGGTCAGTCGCCTAGGAGACGGTGAGTTCTAGTCCCGACTTAGGCATGAAAACTGGCTAGGTGGGCCAATCGCCCAGGAGACGGTGAGTTCTAGCCCTGCCTTAAGCATGAAAGCCAGCTGGATTGGTCAGTTGCTCAGGTGATAGAGCGATTTGAAAAACTCAGCGAGTGAAGTAATCAAAAAGCTTCTCCCATGTCAACTTTACTTCTAGGTTACTTTTGGAGCTGCTGGAACTTCTCTTTGACAAATTCAACGCCGTGGCCGCTGCTCACGCCATCGTCCTGGGACATCTCCAGCAGACCGTGACGCCTCCTGTCAGCCAGTATGATGGCGACATTAAGTTGTACGACATGGCGGACGTATGGGTGAAGATCCAAGACGTCTTGCAGGTAAGATATATATAGGTCTTTAGTTATTCGGGTTTTCTCCCGCGTAGAATTAGAAGTGTCTTGGCGACGTTTCAACGAAGTCACATTTGTCATCTTCAGGCTGGTGTCTTCAGCTTCGTGCTTCTGGGAGTATATATGACGAGAGATAAAAAGCGTGAACACCAGGAAAGGTTTAAAAAACTATAAAAGTTTTAATAAGTTAAAATCCTAGCTTTCGCTGGCCACTGCCAGCATCATCAGGGATCAATCCAGGTCAATGGGAGTGCTTATTTATACAAGACCAAATTATTTTCGCACCCGACCCATGAACACCGTCACGGGACTCCGTCGGCCAATCGATGTTCCGGTCGCAGTTTCCGTATCATTAGCCAGTTTATCCTCGCTACTCCTATCCTCATACGCCTTGTTGCTCACTTTCCTCCCCTCCCCCCTTTTTGTGTGCGTCCCTACGTTAGCTTCATGTCCTACCTTGCTAAGAACGAGTCTACGTTCTATGTCTCCAGAGCGTTCGACCCCTTTTTTTCTTTTTCCCCACACCGGGGTATCCCATAGATACCTGGCTGAGGAATTCTGGGAGTTGAAGCCCACAAGTCATCAAAGGGCCAAGTTTGAAGACCCCTGATAACGGATATGGCACAACAACAAGAAGAAGAATCCATTGCTTCTGAGGGAGAGGGGCAGTTCGAAAATGTGAATAATAAATAAAACAAATAGCCCGGCTGTAATTTACGAAGGGGACTGAAATGGGTCCCGATTTCTCGATTTTTAGCCTTAGTCAGTGTGGTTTAGGTCTTTAGTCCGACACCTTGTCTTCGTAGGAGCGGTGGTTAGCTGTGTCCCAAACATTTTGATTAAGCTGGTGTTTAGGTACAATATTTCAGACAGAAAGAGGGATGCGGCATCAAAAGCAGAACAAGGTCTACAGCTCGGGCAATTTTGTGCATAGCACACAACGGCGAGAACGTGAGAGGCGTTCTGGGCAACTCAATAAATAGTTGTTCGCTTCTCAGGATGGCTGATTATAGGTGGGGTTCAAATCAGAAGCAAAAAGATAACACTAAAATAAACCCGGATAGGGACTTTGTCCTAGCATCGTTGCAATTTAAATCACAGTTCGGGATGGCAGAGAAAAGAGAGAGGCGTCGAAAACTGCAAATGTTAACGCGCCAGTGGCGACAAACCAACTAATATTAGATACTGAAGCGTTGGTTTCCGTCCGAGATGAGGTTTGAGGCTTGCAGGAAATCAATTCTTAATAAGATAGCAGATTGATAATTGCTTAATTAGATGGCCCAATTCACGTGGGAAGGTTGAGAAATAAGAATGCTCTTATTTTCACTTAAAATCCATGATTAAATGTATGAGATGCATTTACTTTCCGAGTGCACAGAGGGGTCCTGGAGGGCCTTCCTAAGTTTGTACTCCGAACATGAAGTCTTTTGCACGCAAATATACAAAATCCACAAGTCATAAAAGGGCCAGGTTTGAAGACCCCTGGCTTATATGGTCCATGCTGGCTGAGGAATTCTGGGAGATGAAGCCCACAAGTCACAAAAGGGCCAAGTTGGAAGACCCCTGGCTTATATGGTCCATGCTGGGTGAGGAATTCTGGGAGTTGAAGTCCACAAGTCATCAAAGGGCCAGGTTTGAAGACCCCTGGCTTATATGGTCCATGCTGGCTGAGGAATTCTGGGAGTTGAAATCCACAAGTCATCAAAGGGCCAAGTTTGAAGACCCCTGGCTTATATGGTCCATGCTGGCTGAGGAATTCTGGGAGTTGAAATCCACAAGTCATCAAAGGGCCAAGTTTGAAGACCCCTGGCTTATATGGTCCATGCTGGCTGAGGAATTCTGGGAGTTGAAGTCCACAAGTCATAAAAGGGCCAAGTTTGAAGACCCCTGGCTTAAAAGGGTGTGCTTCTGAGCTGTTCCCTCTTGCTGCAGAGAAGAGAGCACACAATGACGGAAGCCCATTNTAAAGAAGATGGGCTTCACAATATCTTTAAAAGATACGAATGATGAGAGTTCTTCTTCGGAAACGAGCAGGTGGGAGAAAAGTGTAAAGAGGAGAAAGCTGAACTATGGACAGTCAGACTTCATAATTTTCTTTGATTCTCTCTTCTTCTTCTTCTTCTTTAAACAACTTCTTGAGTCATATGAAATTCAAGGGTGAAAAAGTCAGGTTCTACATGTAGGCAAGAAAAACCAAATGCACAGGTATAGTATAGGGGGTACCTTGCTCAATAGTAGTAACTGTGAGAGGGATCTCGGAGTCCTAGTGGACAGTCACTTAAATAGGAGCCAGCCGTGTGCTGCAGCTGCCAAAAAAGCCAACACGGTCCTAGGCTGCATTAACAGAGGGATAGAATCGAGATCATGTGAAGAGTTAATACCACTTTACAAGGCCTTGGTAAGGCCACACTTGGAATCCTGCATCCAGTTTTGGTCACCACCATGTAAAAAAGATGTTGAGACTCTAGAAAGAGTGCAGAGAAGAGCAACAAAGATGATTAGGGGACTGGAGGCTAAAACATATAAGGAACGGCTGCTGGAATTGGGTATGTCTAGTTTAATGAAGAGAAGGATGAGGGGGGACAGGATAGCAGTGTTCCAGTATTTCAGGGGCTGCCCCAAAGAAGAGGGAGTCAAGCTCTTCTCCAAAGCCCCTGAAGGCAGGACAAGAAGCAACGGATGGAAACTAACCAAGGAGAGAAGCAACCTAGAACTAAGGAGAAGCTTCCTGACAGTGAGAACAATTAACCAGTGGAACCACCAGCCTCCAGAAGCGGTGAATGCTCCAACACTGGAAGTTTTTAAGAAGAGACTGGACAGCCACTTGTCTGAAATGGTATAGGGTTTCCTGCCTGAGCAGGGGGTTGGACTAGATGACCTCCAAGGTCCCTTCCAACTTTATGATGATGATGATGTCTATGGAAGTTCTCCATCATCCAGGTCATGGTTGTCCCAAAAGTGCTTTTCCAAAAGGCAGTTGGACTTTCTGATTTTTTTTTTTCCCCTTGAAAACATTTCGGAAGCCGATCGGCACCCAGTGCAACTCCTGCAACAGAGGCGACAACGTGTGCAAACCTAGGCTTGCACAAAAGCTACATTGAACCACTCGAAACTTCCGGATATTTTTTCAAGGGCAGCCCCAACCACACAACGCACACACAAAAGATGACGAGAGCTGTGTAGGACACAAACTAGGACATAAATCCTTATTTTTGAGAGGAATGAATACTTTCCTTCTGCGAAGACCGAGAAGTGCCCAAAAATACTAATTCTGCTACAAAGCAGCATGAAAAAGTTGTCATTATACGGACCGAAATATACTCGGGAAGTGACTCATGCCGTGTTCTTGTGGCATGAGAATTTCTTTCGGGGAAAAAAAGCAATCGTCTTTTTTTGGGGGGGGGGCTTCAAATCTGCCACATTGCTGCCCTTGAAAATGCCAAACGCTGCGCACTCATTAACACGGTTCTTCCATTTAATTGAGAAGGATTGCTAGCCGGGAGAGATTGACAAGTCTTGCGGCTGGAGAAAGCAGGACGAACAAAATAATACTCTGGAGGCTACCGGTCTCTTTAATCTGAGGTTTTTCAAACTTAGGCCTTCTATGTTTGATTTTTTTTTTCTCTCTCCCCGTTTGTCTCTTTCCTCTTTGCTACCGCTTCAACAAGCTAACCTTGGGGAAACTTAACTTTTTGTTTTTTAGATCAAGCAACTTGCAGCCCTTATTGGCAGAAAAGTTAAAACAGGGCAAGTTAGAGAATGACTTTTCACACTGCAGTAACTTTCCTGCCTCTAGAACAGCGCAAACTCCCTTAAAAGTAAGATTTTTTTTAATAATTCCGGTCTACTATATATGCATCCCGAACTATTTTCATCCATTCTGGGAAATAGAGAATAATTCTTAACTTCACTCAGATGCATTCGCAAGTGGTTTATTTTGAGAACAGTCCTGGACTGTATACGCTATTCCTTGAGTGAATATGTAATAATAGTAATAGTAATAGTAATAGTAATAATAATAATAATAATAATAATAATAATAATAATAATAATAATAATAATAATAATAATAATAATAATAATAATAATAATAATAAAGTTGGAAGGGACCTTGGAGGTCATCGAGTCCAACCCCCTGCTCAGGCGGGAAACCCTATACCATTTCAGACAAATGGCTGTCCAGTCTCTTCTTAAAAACCTCCAGTGTTGGAGCATTCACCGCTTCTGGAGGCAGGTTGTTCCACTGGTTAATTGTTCTAACTGTCAGGAAGTTTCTCCTTAGTTCTAGGTTGCTTCTCTCCTTGATTAGTTTCCATCCGTTGCTCCTTGTCCTGCCTTCAGGCGCTTTGGAGAATAGCTTGACTCCCTCTTCTTTGGGGCAACCCCTGAGATATTGGAAGACTGCTATCATGTCCCCCTTCGTCCTTCTTTTCATTAAATTGGACATAGCCAATTCCAGCAACTGTTCTTCGTATGTTTTAGCCTCCAGTCCCCTGATCATCTTTGTTGCTCTTCTCTGTACTCTTTCTAGAGTCTCAACATCTTTTTTACATCGTGGTGACCAAAACTGGATGCAGTATTCCAAGTGTGGCCTTACTAAGGCCTTGTAGAGTGGTATTAATACTTCACGTGATAGCCCGTTCATAATAACGTTTGTGGTCTTTGGCTTGGGAAATAGGCATTTCTCCCCAATCCGTGTCATGTACATGCAGTCCTCGGCTTGCAACCATAATGGAGCCTGGCCATCAAGGTTATAAGTCGTCATGGCCGGAAATTGGGTCACCCACATGACCGACATGATCCTGTGACCTTTCTCATCATCATTATGGTGGTCATAAAGCGGATGCCGTGGTTGTTAAAAAAAAAAGATGTAAATGCTGATTTTCAGCAAAACCACTATAAAACGTGTCCATCAAGATGCTGCAAACAGTCATAAATGGAGGACGGTTGCCAAGCACTCAGTCGTTTGACTACATGGGAAGGGGTGG